GAGAGCAGAGAGCAGAGAGCAGAGAGCAGAGAGCAGAGAGCAGAGAGCAGAGAGCAGAGAGCAGAGAGCAGAGAGCAGAGAGCAGAGAGCAGAGAACACGAGGAGATAGCTGTGTCAGAATGGGAAGACAACAAGCCGCTCCAGCCAGGGCAAGAGCGGCAGCAGAAAGACAGCAGTAGATAGATATGAAAACAAGATAGGGGAGGGAGCTACTCAAAGAGGGTGAGGTACCTGTTTGAGCAAAATCCGGTAATAGGCCGATTGAAAATGACAGCTGTTGCAATGTGCTCAGCTGCAAAAGTGCAAAACAGAACGCAGAAGTGCAAGCTTTGAGGACGATGCCCCAAGAAGCTGGAAAAAGTGAAGGAGATGAAACAGCAGGAAATAGTAAATGGATTGAATGTATGAATTGTGATCGTATTGTATGTAGATGTGAAGATGAAGCAGACACTGCAATGAGAAGATGAAGAGATGCTCAGAAGTGAAGAGAGCAGATATGTAGGAGGGAGGGAGAGAAGAGAGAAAGAAGGAGAAAGGAAGAGGAATATATACCTCTGAAAGCCGCCAAGGGATCGACGAATATTGCTCTGGCAACACTTCTTGAGGGCATGAGGACAGATCAGAGGTAAATATGCTTCTGGTTTTGATGGGGACATGGGTGTGTCGTGGTGTTTTGAATCGCGTTCCATTGGCGAACCAAAACGTTTATGGTGGTCAGTCTCCCGCGATCCCCCTTTTGACCAGACAACACCATGGGAGACTTCGCTTGGCAATCCGAACAACCACACGAACAGCAGATCTTCGGGAGGCAGTGCAACGTTTGTCAATCGTATCGAAGCCAATTGCATGCAGTCGTCGGGTGCGGCAAATCGCCTTGGGAACTGGTAGGAGAAAAGAACACGTGGTCGGATGAGCAGGTTCGAAAACCTCGTAGAGTTTGGTTCCATCGAGTAGGAAAAGGTTGAGATTGGTAGAAAGTGTAGATTCCCGGCAGCGTTGCATCGGGATCAACAGACTGTAGGCAACGAAGCACTGTGTGCAATGAAGGCCAAAAGCCCGCAAACGGGCCTCATGATGCACTGAAGTGGCGGAAAATGAAGGCTACAGCTCGTATCTTTCGGCGGAACAATGCCAGTGGGCAGGGGAAGTCAACGGTTCAATGACAGCCAGTATACTTCGGCGTTGCCACGGCTCCCACATTGAGCAGCCATTAAACCACGAAAAAAAGAGTACCAAAGAAATGCCTCAGTGCAAGGAGGATCTTGAATGTCACACTGCGGCACTGGCAATGTCGGGACACCGTAGCAACTTGAAGCAAGGCAGCTGCCCTCGAAGGCACTTGCACGAGGCAGAACGGAAAAGCTCCGTAGCATTTTGCCAGTTGAGATGAGTGCTTGGGACCTTTTTCATCACAGGCAGGCACCTACAGGTAGGCTGTCAAGCAAAGCTTAATGGCACCAATCATGGCATTTTGTCCCTACACAGCCAGCAGATACTACTCTATTGAACAGTCTTCTGGTCTGCGAGGACATCAACCCACATCTTGTCGCCCTTCGGCCGCCGAATGCCACCTTCGCCTGCCAGCAGCGCCTCACCCTCTTTGCCAAACGCCAACAGCTGCTCTTCGCTGCCCCACTCGCCCATAGCCTGCCCAAGAATTAGTATACAGGCCATCAAGAGAGAACGGAAACAGGGGGTGGGGAGGAGAGGGAGCAATACCATCAATCCAACTGGCAAATTTGCATCAGTGTAGCCCATCGGGCAACTAATGGCTGGGGCCCCCGTGAAATTGGCGAGATAGACGTATTCCATGGCCCTCAGACTCTGGTCTCCATCGCTGACACCGTATCCGCTGGTGATGTCGCCGGGTTTCTCAATTTTCCATCCCGCACACGGTGTAGTTGGTGACAGCAGCAACAGCCCAGGGTATTGCTCCCACAGCCATGCAAGGTGGCACATGAGGAGATTGCGCATCTTTTGGGCAAAGATAAAATCTTGGGCGGTGGCATGGCTACCAGCTACATTGAGCAGGAGTTGGTTGTGCCAGCTCAGATGCTTGATATTAGCTGCGCTGTGCTGACTCCTGGATTCAGACAAGATTGTCAGTGCATGAGCCTTCTGTCCTTGCGGAAGATATGGAATGCTGATGTCCACCGCCTCATAACCTAAGTTCCTGACGTAGTGGTCAACAGCAGCATTGAACATGTCAAGCACTTCAGGATCAGCTCTGTTGATCCAATCTCGATCCAGGCCTAGAACCTTTCTGCCCTTGGGTATCTCAGATAATGAAGCCTCCGAGATCAATGAGGTCGGGAACCGGGAGCTTCGGCTGGTCAAAGGGTCTGGTTGGGCCATGATCCGATATCCCAATGCAAGGTCGTCAATGCTGCTAGCCATTGGACCATTGACAACAACGCTGTCCGTCTTTTCAAAGTCGACCCGCGAAGAGACACGACCGTGGGTCGTCTTGAGACCGTAGATGCCACAGAAGGCAGAAGGCAGACGGATCGAACCACCACCGTCAACTCCCAAAGCTATAGGGCAGATTCCCGACGCGACCACAAAGGCCGATCCTCCTGAACTTCCGCCAGTATAGTAGCCATTGTTGTGCGGATTCAACGGCGTGCCCCAGTTCGGATTGTTGTTAGTGGTGTCCAGGCCGACCTCATGCATATTCGTCTTGCCTATGATGATTGCTCCGGCCTCCTGCCATTTTTCGACACACCAGGCGGTCCGGTCGCCAGGATCCGAGTAATCCAGCTTTGTGCCGAGAGTCCTCTTGTAACCCTTTAGGTGAACTTCGTCCTTCACCGCTAGAGGAACTCCATCAAGCACGCTGAGTGGTTTTCCGGCACGATACCTTTCAGTCGATGCTTTAGCAGCTGCTCGCACAATTTCTACCTTGGTATCAATGAATGCGACAGAGTAGGGGCCAGCAGGCGTCGTGTCCCGCCGAATCAAAGGTAATAATTGCTCAATAACATCCGACGGAGTGACTTTGCCAGACTTGTACAGCTCACGGAAGTCCGCGCAAGTATAATAATTATTGGATGATTCCCGAGGACGAGGCACCGGCAAGTCTGAGACTGCTATAGCTGGAACAGCAGTCGATGAGATTGGGATTACTGTCGGATCAAGCCGCATCTCATAATCCTCAAGTCCGGGTGTTTCTTTGAGCTTGTCGAACTTGTTCAGCTTCCAAAGGACATTCTGAATGTATGAGGACGATGCGATTCTGGCAGTCTGAGTCAACGTCCACAATTCACGCGGAACATGATGTGTCCATACATTCTCGAGACAGCCGCCAACGCGAAACCCCGGAGCACCGGGTTCGAGCCCGCATCATTGTGGTAGGGGACCTCAGGACCTTTGCGTGATTGCGGTCGGTACCATGCATTCGCATATACTGCCTGACTTGCCATGTCGAACGATTACATAAGGGGTAATGACACCCCTTCAAGTCTTCCGGACGGATAGGAAGGACGCAAAGTCTCTTACTACTACGATCTCGGAGGTTGTTTCCAAGTTGTTGTGTGGAGAGCTCCGTACCACAGAAATACAAACTAACCAAAGACGGGAAAAGCTTGAACCCACGTCAACCGACCTTCTGCCTTATGTACCGTTCGCCCATGAAACGGACTGAAGCCATGAAAGATATGAAGTCTTCTTCGTATGGTCGTCGCTTAGACTACGAAAGAGGGACGACAAGTCTCATGCATTCAATTGTTGAGATGCAAATTCGAGATTTTCATCGCACTAGAGGGCTCCAGGAGCGTCGCTCTCTGCAAGCGAAAGGTCGGTTAATGCCAGAGACGAGGGACCTCAGCAAACTACTACCAAGGGACATGCAAATGCACTGCATTGGCTCTGCATAGACTCCTACTACTAGTATATATCAAAAATGCATGGCCCCTCGGCTTTTCCCCTGCTCCCACGCATATCATGGAACCAATTGTACCGTGAAGATATGGTGTTTAGACGCCCGCTAATGCAAACCAGTACGGAAGATATCACCCTACGACCATGACGGCCAAAGTTACATTGCCATGCATTCCCAGTTTTCAGGCCTCTAGCAGGAATCATTTCGTCTTCATAAAATCTCAGCCATCTGTTCTAGTGCCATGCGCACTGCAGGGCAGTCCTATCCGAAAGAGACCAGTGCCGATGTGTCCGCTAAAGAGGGGTTCTCAGGGAGGGTCTCAATGCTCATCAATATGCAATGCTGTATCTTGAGGCGCAGTGGTGTCCGCCCACTGAGTTAAAGTAAGTACCTAGGTAGGTATTTCCTGGTATTTCCTGGCTTATAGCACTGGACTCGAGAACACCCCTGACCCTGCCTCAAACGCACAATTCTCATTGGGTCTGCAAAGCAGGCCTAAGGGTAAGTACCTCCAGCTATGGTTGTAGACAGCAGATGGAGAAGTGGAGGGTCAGGGAAAAAAGCATTCCACGTGGGTGTATGCCAGAGAGTAGTATCTCAGGTCAGGCACGGAAACTGAAGAAGCCGTGGAACAAGGCAAGAGCCAATCATTGAGAGCAGAAGAACAACGGGTACCATAGCACGAAACTGGCAATCTTGCATGATAGCTATCGAGATCGCCTCAACGCCAGTGGTCGACCAGGGTTTGCGCTTTAAGGACCCCCCGAAAGAGACTTGGATGCGGTGAGGGAAGGCGAGATAAGGGGGAAGAAGAGGCGAAGGCCGAGCAGACGAGCCGTACCACGATCAGCATCCCAGAGAAGTGAACGAGAGGACGATAGCAGAGTTGGTAGGAGTGAGGCCATCAGAGCTGGCGTGCTTTAATTAAACCGAAAGATGTAGGCAATAAAGCTAGGGGAGCCGCGAAGCCGAGTGCTGATGTATTTTATGCCAGTACATCGGCACCCAGGGCCCAATTGTCCTTCATATTGATATCTAGTCTGTCTGACTGTGACTGAATAGGTGATTTGAGAGGGTGATTTCACCATATTGGGTCAGTCTGACACAATGGTTCTTCTCACACTGTTGTTTCATTCTGAAGAGGTATGGAGGATTTCAAGACCTGATGACATTTTGGCTTCACCCGAGACAAACATACAGCTCGACTGAGTCGGCGCCGTGGTGTTGCTTGTCAGTTCGGTTCGAAATGGTTGAATACTTCGTCCTCGGGCGGCAGTGACTGAAGGTTTTATCGACACTGCCGCCGATTGACAACATTTGTAGCTCACTCCAATTTGTTGGCGATGGAACTGTTGCGGATGCATCGTGTACTTCACTGCAGGTTAGTGCCTCACGTGGGAGTGCGCACAGTGCCGACAGCGCCAAAAAACCGTGATTCCAAAGAATCAAAAAACTCAGGCTCGAATCCTCTCAGACCCGGATTCGAACCCCTGTGAAAACTCACCTTCTCATGATTCATTGCCATGATGGTTGGTTTTTATCAGGTAACTTCATCTCGTAGATGTATATGGTCCCCCGCTAGTATCTGCCTTGGGTTGGCAGGTACTGCTATTCGTGAAATTCAACTCTCACTTGAGGCCTGTACCGATCGAGTTCAGTTTTTTGTTTTGAAGTTGAACAGAATTCTGCGGGAATAAAATATAACCTATAGACGGACCCACCTGAATGGTGTTGTGTTGGAGGCCTCCACGAAGTTAACTACGTGGTGTAGCGAAGGGGAGTGATATTACCCAGGAGGACTCCCGATATGAAGGCTTGGGCACAGCAGGACTGGTACTACGGAACGGTCACATGATATACATCTAAACGAATTCAACAGAATGAGTCTAACAGCTTTGCACCAGCGTAGAAGCCATGAACGACCAAAATATTATGGCTATCAACAGATTTCCGCGTGGTGTTGATGCGCAGCCTCGTCTGGCTGCGGAGCCTTGTGACGTGCGCCCCTTTTCTGACGAGGCTGACCCGCGCCAAGCGTTGGAGAAGTTGAAGATGAAGCCACCTCTGTACTTTAGGTAACTTTTCTGGATTACAACTAGGGACCCTGCGACAACGAGGGTCTGCCCGCGTCTGCACATTCCCTCTCTACCGACCTCATTTAATTCCTCTCGTAGCATGAGAGAGGATTGCTGTGAACCACTTTTGCTCAATTTGAAGGTCTCCCTGCCAGTCGACACCTACTGATCACTTCGCCCTAACACCACGCGGCCCCTGCGGCTCGCGACCACCATTTCATAATGTCGTCCTCCGACTACAACTACGATGACCAGGGGCAATTCTTCCCGTTTTTCATGCTGACCATGGCCGGTCTGGTCACCGTGCCGCTCACGTACAACATCCTCAAACCGTCGACAGATCTCGAACAGACCGCGGCGCGGATCCAGTCCGACTTCAAACCGAAGAATGACGATCTTATCGAGTCGCTACGAAGGAGACGGAAGAGGCAGAATCGCAAAACGAAGCGTATAATTGCTGTGGTCTTGGGCTATGCATTCATGGCGTACATGATTTATCTTATTGCTGTCACTCAGAGAACCGCACCCAAGATGTGGGATCCGTACGACATCTTGGGAGTATCGAGGGTAAGTCGCGGTTTACGGTCCGAGAGCTGTGCAAGACTAATTGTGCGTAGAGCGCTACTGAAGCGGAGATCAACCGGTTCTACAAACGATTGTCTGTGAAATACCACCCAGATAAAGCGCGACCCGATCCTGCGAAGAACGAGACAGTCGAATTCATCAACGACCGATGGGTCGAAATGACCAAAGCGTACAAGGCGTTGACGGACGAGGAGATCCGAAACAATTATCTTCTCTATGGCAACCCGGATGGGAAACAAGGCACAAGCATAGGCATCGCACTTCCCAAGTGGATGGTGGAGGAAGGAAACCGATGGTTTGTCGTTGCGTTCTACGGTGTCCTCCTTGGGATTATCCTTCCTTACACACTGGGTAAATGGTGGTATGGAACACAAGCCCTCACAAAGGACAAAGTCTTGCACGCAAGCGCTGGCAACCTGTTTCGCGAATGGAAGGAAGACATTACAGAAGGTGGTGTTATTACTGCCTTGAGTGTGGGCGAAGAATTCAAGGAGATCTTGAAGGGCCCTCGAAGCGACGCCGGGGCAGCCAAGGTCGAAGGCAAAGTTCTCAACAGTTCTGCCTTGACAGAGGCGGACAAGGCGAAACTGAAAGCCATTGAAGATCCTGTCCGACGAAAAGCGCTTGCTTTGCTGTGGGCGTACCTCGCTCGAATCGACCTGGAAGACGCAGAGCTCGAGAAGGAGAAGTACGAAGTGGCACCAACAGCTCTGCTCCTGAACAACTCTTTCACATCGATCACTCTGCCCTTTGGTGCAGTCAATCCTCTCCTAGCATCCTACCACACCTCCCAGAATATTATACAAGCAGTCGCTCCAGGCTGGTCGCCTCTGCTTCAACTTCCAAACATCACACCCGAGATTGCTGCGAAGATTTCCACGGATCCAAAAACACCAATGACCTTGCAAAAGTTCATGACGCTTGCTCCCAGCGTGAGGCGGACCATGTGCTCCGAACTATCCGAATCCCAACACGCACAAGCCATGAAAGTTGCCTCTCAAATCCCACACCTACAAATCGCCAAGGCGTTTTTCAAAGTTGTCGGCGAACGCGTCGTTACACCATCGTCACTGGTCCAACTCGTGATTAAAGCCCGAGTGATTCCCCCGGGCACAAAGGACGTTCCAGCCGTCAACCCTCTGGATCTGGAGGACATTGATCCCGATGAAGGTGATCTCGATGCCCTGCACGGACGAAAACCAGCCAAATCCAAGCGACGCAAACTACCTGACGGACGGGTGGTCGAGGACGACTCCAAGGAAGGGTCTGTCCAACCTCCGCTCGCCCACGCGCCGTACTTCGCAGCTGACCACGCACCGCGATGGCATGTGTTCTTGTCCGAGGCGCGAACTGGCCGCATTGCCGTGCCGCCGTTCACATTCACCGCATTTGATCGCCTCATCTTCAATGCCGACGGCACTCCCACGTTCAACATGTTGACGTTTAAGTTTCCCTTCCAGGCACCTGCGCAGGTGCACGCTTTCCCATTTGTCATGCATCTTGTATGTGACAGTTACATTGGCCTTGATTCGAAAGTGGACGTTGTGCTGGATGTCAAGGATGTCAGTGAGGCCAATGTCGTCGAGAGTGATGACGAGATCAGTGAGCCTGACGAAGGTATTTATCTGCTCAAACACTTCGGTATTGTCCCAAATACTAACGCGATGTAGATACCCTAGCCGGCCAACTCCAAGCCATGAAGACCGGCGGATTGACCGGCGGCCCTACAACCACCACAACGAAGAGAAAGAAGAAGAAGACGGCTACCGACGCGCAAGCTGTACCTGTTGCGCGGAGCGGTTCGAAAAAGGTTCAGGATGTCGACGACAGCGACGATGACGACGACGACAGCGATACCGAGGGTTCGGACGATGACACGTCAGATACGGACACGGACACGGACACCGAGACCGAGGATGAGGATTCATGATCATGTGACTGAGTACCTACTTTGGTCGTGCCAGTGGAGATGTTTGTCTCAACATGCCAGTGGTTGTATCTTCTGCAGTGTATCTCTAGTTAGAAGGCATTATTGTGCATTGCATCGGATGCCAGGTGTTTAAAAAAAAAAATGGGTCAAATACCTAACCAAATTTTTGAATCATTTTCCAAATCTCACAGTATTCTCGCGCTCCGTCGTCGAGGCCGAACTTTTTTTTTTTTCTTCTTCTCGTTTTTGGGTTTGAAGGTTGACCTTCCAGGTTCACCAGTCGTTCGACTTTGTCGGTTCCCTTACAGCTATTATTTTATCCTTTGCCTTGCCAAAAGGCATTCCACTACTAGTGGTACAGTACTATCATTTATATTTTGATGCCCCATGGTACTTAGACCGGTACATATAAGCAGCCCCTGAGTCTAAACAGTACTGTGTTCTCCGACCCAACCACCAATTGATGCAGAATCGATGCAATCAATTTGGAATCAATGCAGTCCAACCGTAGGACACCAGCACCGCTACTACTACTACTAGTACGTGCGGCAGCACTGCCAGTGCAACCTCTTCTTTTGAGAAAAAACCGACTTGTGGTCGCACAAGGCAATCGTGAGTGTATCAATATAAATCAATGAAATGCAGTCTATCGACCTTACTACTAGTCCCAGTCCCGATCCTAGGTAGCACCGTAAGCACCAGGAACCATTCAACTTGAACTTTGCCATGCAAGGACTGCCTTTCTCAATCTCGAATCCCATTCACCATCAGAGGCAATAATGCATACTGATGTAGTACCACCACTCAATTTCTCCCCCATTTCGCAACGCATTTCCCACCACCATGCACTCCCTGTCCACTCCCTCAGCATCGCATCCTTCAGACGTATACGCGAGACCGTTCATGTAGGATCCAGTATTCCGGCCTTCGTCTTGAGGACCTCACTTCTTCCCACTCGAACTGCCAGAACTCATCTCATTCATCCGCTCTTTAATCCGGTCCCTCCCCTCATGCATATACTGCAGGGTTTTCTTATATTGACGGTCCTGAGACTGGATGGACAGTTGGGTGAGTGCGAGGGTGGCGAGGCCCAGGACGCCGCCGACGCCAATGAGGGTTCGGGTTTGCATTGTCGACTACTAACTAGTAGGGCACGGTTAGCACTTGGAACACGATGTCTGTCTCGTTTTATTCAATATACTGCTCATCACATATCATGCTCTTCTGTTCTCTCCCTGTCTCGCTGTTCTGTTTCTGCACCCTGGAGGCGCGGCATGGACATACATGCGCGGGCGAACGAGGTGGACGGTAGCGCGGATGGTAAAGGAGCAGTACCTAGGGAGGGACAGTAGAATGGACTGTACCTTTAGAACCGGTATTCAGTTCGTCGACGGGGCTATTTCTGACGGCAGAGTAGTGGACGGTGTCGCGAACAAGTGTTCAAGTGTTGTATTATCACTCGCTGCGATGATGCAAGTCAAGTGACTACTCGAGTGAGGGAAGGAAGGCGCGCGTTTCAATTGAGGGGTCCTCTTTCGACGCGACGGAAGTCTTGCTTGTCGGTGCAAGAGGGAATCAAATACCAGGAGAGTGTCTGTAATATCGTTTGACTGTAGTGATGCCAAGCGCGTGTGCGTGTGCGTTCGTGGGAGGGGATTGGATTGCAAGTAGACACAGAAAGACAAGAAAAGAGGAAAGAGCAGCCTAAAAAGAGGGATGAGGGAGAGGCAGGGGATATGCCGATGAAACGTCGCACTAACACTACTCCCGGCAGAGGCCAAACAACTTGAACCCCGACTTGCTGAGTGACTTCGGTTAGAACCATTTCAGATCCTCGGTCGAATGTTCGTTTCCAGTTGCTAGCCCTTGGAGCATGCAGTGGTGCGGGCGATCCTCCAACTACTAGACACTTGCATCTCCTCTACGCAAGTGTGTACCTAGTGATAGTACTGCCGGTGGCAGCATGATGGTCATACTTCGAGTACTAACCACACCAGTGCACCTTCTTACCGCCTTACTCACTTCAAGTCTCTCTACAACGATGTACACCGATGTCGAGCGGTGACCCCCAGATGACAGCCACAGCCACAATATCGAGTGGAGAGCAGCCTCCTCCGCAATTTACTCCGCGCTTCGAGATCCACCCATAGCAGCCCGCACAACAAGACAATCTGGAGGATTAACTATTAATACTACTGTATCCACAGTATCAATGCTTGCACAGTCGAGATAGACCACTTGATAGCAATATTTCCAAGGCTTTGTCTCTTAAGTGGAAGAGAAGTCAAAACATGACTGCTGTATGGTATAGTTGAATACCGTAGTGCTAGATTCGCTCGTTTGCTACAAGAACGAAGCCAATGCTATAATAAACCCTCTGAAAACGACTCCCGACAGCCTGCCAACCCCATTCAGGTTTCTCTCTATCACTGGGCATTATTATCATCGTTAACCAGTTGTGCTGTTCTGCGGACCCCATCAAAAACAAAAGCACACTTGAGTCGCATACGCAGGTACCTAGCCCACGTCCCCTGGAAGAGCACCAAGGACAGCTCCCTCTACCGTGCAAACCCCGTCTGTCCTCAAGAGCAAGGATGCCTTTCCAAGTCAGCCTCGCCATATACCTAGGTAGTAGGCACCTCAGCTCTGAGCATCCACAAAGACATCAACTTCACTCGTCTCTGTATCGGCTCGTTTCAGTGGCGCCTGTCCTTCCGGCACCATGGCTTCATGCATTTTTAATCTCGACATCTGGCTGTTCATGTGAGAGATATCATTGTCGTCATCCATGAGGTTGGCGCTTTGGGAACTGTGTCCGGTAGGCGGATCTACAGTAATGGCCTCGTACACTGGAGCAACACCCTGTTGATTCGAGGTTGGCTGCACGGCTTGCCCAGCAGGAGCGGCAGGGGCGGCAACGGACTCTTTTGGCTGTGTTGGTTGCGATGACCCAGGCTGATTACTAGGGGCAGGCTTTGAGTCAAAGTCGATCAGGTTGCTCGTAGGTTCCGACTCTGGCGGAGCTGCTTGTTTTGGCGGTGCTTGTTGCGGCGCATGTTGCCGTGTCGTCTTCTCCATTGGCGGGTTGTTCGCTCCAGCCTGACCTTGCTTTACTGACGCCTCGGCTGGCGGTTGAGCCGCCTCCTTTGTATGTGCCTGTTGATGAGGCCTGTGCTCCGGCCCACCGGGCTTCCCTTGACCAGGCAGAATCGGAGCGATTGACAGGATCTTTTGTTCCAATTCTTTCGGATCCTTCGAGTCCCTGCCAGCTGTCAGAGCCACTAAAATAATGCTAATGTCGACAACTTACAGATGCGCATGGATGATCCACTCCAAATCTTCTTCTCCTTCTTCCGACCCGCCCTTTTTCGCATCGACTCTCCGGAACAGCTGGGGTTGCCACTCCACGCCCAGCTCTTCTCTTCGCTTGGCCTCCTCTCGTTGCTGATCTTCGATCTTGGCCTTTTCCATAGTCGCTTTTTCGTGGTCTGCCGCCTTGACCGCCTTGACGGTATTGTACCACAGTTTTTGAGACTCACGATCGCCTTGCTCCTCCAACGGCCGCGTCCGGGGAGGAGAATGTTTCGCATGCGTGGCATCGAACAGAGTCTTTTTCTGGCCCGTCTTCACGTCCTTGATGTACATCTCCCCCGACCATAGCCCAGATAACTCGTATAGAACCTCACCGGTCTTGTCGTTTTTGATGGCTCCTCCAATCGCATTGTACGTACCTCCCATCCAGCCTTTCGTCTTAAATTCAATGTCGGCACTGAGATTGTTCTCGGGACATCGCACATAAGAATGGTCGCCCAGCTCATACTTCATCTTGCCGAAGAGAATACCTCGAGCGTACATATTCGGCTGTGTCAGAATACTGCTTTGGTTAGCCAGGACATGAGATCGGTTCATTGTCTGCACATACTATTTCTCCCCGCCCTTCGACTTCCCTCGATTCGTGAACCTCAAATATGATATGCCCTCCATCATACTTGCTGCCGAGTTACCGAGGAACTTGCTTCGAGGTTTCAGAGTCCCGTCCACCCTGATATGGTGGTATGGTGCCATGAAAAAGTAAGAGGATTTCGGGGGATGATGAGAAGTCTGCTCCGCAATGTAATACCCCCGCGTGCCGTCCGGGTAATCCCAGTAACAAGTAAACGTCTCTCCGAGTATCGGGTTCAATGGCTTTTTCACGCCGCTGCCACAGTCGTCAGTACTTGGCTATACTCACTATTCGGGAGGATCTCCTACGGAGGCCTGATGTGCCAGCCGCTCAAGTAGAACTTGACCACTGCCACAAATCTTTCCACCGGATCTTCGACCTTAGGCATGGGCAGGAGCGTGTCGGGGTGAGCCATGAAGCTACAATGCCTGTCAGCCGCGGACTTCGAGACCATACACTGTCCGCAACTCACTTTGTTATTCTTTCCAACATCGACCTGGGCTCCAGAATAAAGGTAGGCAGCGTGACTCGGGACAGGTCTGCGCCCGGCCGCAGCTGCGAAATGATATGGGAAAGGACTGTCTCTGGAGTCAGCTCCACCACTTGTGCAGCGTCCTCAGGATGGGGCTAATGGTACCATTTCCCTGTTCTGGCTCGACAACTTCGGTGTCTTCGCCTTCAGCTGTGTCTCGAGGTTCTTCAGAAGCGGAAGCAGAAGAGGATCGGTGGCCTAGTAGTGTCTGGTCAGCCTCCCGTTGCGCCAGCTGATCCCGCTTTGTCAGGAATATCGAGTCCAAACTCACTGCGATTGCGCAGAGCTCCCCCTATTGAGTGTCTCATCTTGCCCCGGCGCCGAGGAGCATGCAAAATAAGGAGGAGCCGGATTGCGGTAGAATCGTCGACGTCGAAACAGACAGCAACAGAGGGTTATATGACGTCGTGGGGAGGGAACGGCAGGATGGTGGGGAGGGCAAGGATGTTTCAGGCAGTAGGACAGTCTGCCAGATATCCTGCTTTACGTTGGGTGGCCTTTGCTGGAGATTCCGCTGAAAGAGAGGTAGGGCGATGTCCTCGACGGGCGCTGATGACGGGCTGCAGGCAGGAAATAGTAGTTGGACTGTAGCAGGATTGGGCTCCAGTGCCGTGCATTCGGAGCAGCTGGAAGAGGTCGAATGAAGCCTGCACAGGCACAAAAAAGGGCCAATAATGACGGTGACGGGGTTGGGGGGATTGGTTGACGCCGGGAGCACAACGCGGTCTCTTCACCAGAACTGACTCGGAGCTGCCAGTGCTAGTAATAGCAGCCGCACACAAAGTAATGCACCCGCCGACCCGTTGTTATTATTGGGCATCCGTCTGTGGTTATAGAAACATAAATTAAGCTGTGTGAAAACACCTGCGCGCGTCAGCTTGCATTATTTTTATGGCACCACATATTACACTGTACTGCCTTTACCTTCAGTTCTTCAACAACTGCAGACCTAGGAAGGCCTAGGCCTATAGAAAGGGTACAATATCGACTCTCCATGCCGTCGTACTCGTTACCTCGCGCTGTCTTGTTCTATAATCTATCGCTTGGCGACCATTCCTGCTCAATGATCCGGAGGGGGTTGCACAGTCCTATGCGTGCTCTGGAGCTCCCAACCGTGTCGACAATATATCCTGACCCTTCCCCTCCCTGCGTCTTTACCATGGCAATGTATCTACTACTGTATCCTTTCGCCGTCCTGCTTGCCGTTGTAACAAGCCTGTGCTCTTGTGGCGGCCATATCAGCTAGATCGATCTTCCCCAGTGACCCTTACCAGCAAGTCGGCCGGCGGCTTATACAACATGACGTGAAAGTGCTCTGGCCATTATTAGCTCCCATTACCCCATCGCAGACCTTCAAACTGCCAGTGCAGTGTCTGTGCTATTCTTGAAAAAGACTCACCTAGCGCGTGGACGCTCTTCAAACTCTTCCAATTCTTAAACCACACGATATGATCTCTAGGCATGCCTGGTTTCCGAGAAGTCCCTTCTTCAGAACCCTGTCCGGCATCCAGAATGAATGTCCTTGCAATGAAGGTCTCAATGTCGACTCTAGCTTTTTCGGAAACTTGACCCGTAGACTCGTCCTCGTCGATCACAAACTTGGTCCATACCACGAGATGTTTGATGTCTTCGTCGATGTAGTACGGCCAATCATTATACAGGATTTTGTAGTCCTCCGGATTCTGGAACGGAGGATCTCCTGAAGGAGTGATATCGTCCCATCGAAGGAGTTCATGTTGGATGTACGCTGACACTGATCCGTATTGTTGCTTCAGGTGATAGACCCATTTGAGATATGCTCGTAGTTGACTCGGAGATCGTTGAAATTGATCAATCCTGCCTGTCTCTGTATATGGATGAATAATTGAGGGTCAGTCCGGCTGGTCATGGAGAATCGAAATTCCTCTGGTTGTTGGTGCTGCCATAAAACGTACTGACTAGTTCTCGAACTTCTGGCCACGACAATTTGTGACAATCTTCTTCTCGACTTGAAATGATTCTCATGTTTTTGTCGCCAATGCCGACCAGATACTCGGGACACTCTTCCGTCCATTGTTGTTTGGGTATATTTCTGTTCCAGTATCGGGTGGAAAGGCCCTCCGCGTCGGGAGTTCCAGCCCGCGGAGTAGGATGCACTGAGTGTGGCATATCGTGCTATAGGAACCTGCAGATTCACTGGAGCCGCATCTCAGGATAGTATAGGCGAATGGTTCTGATTCCCTTCTATAATACAATATTGTTGATTGTTGGTGGAGGTTCTAGTAGATGTACCCGTACTTGTCAGCACTTCAGCGCTGCCAGTGCAGTATTACGCTGTTCCGAAGGCAGCCGCCCGTCTTCCTGTGGCACGGTGACATCGGCAGTCCAACATAACGCGCCCCTTTACAAGATATAGCACAAGAGCACATCAATTACCTATGATGGTAAGCAAAGTAAGGGGCCTGATGTCCTACGGTTCATGCTCTGGGCTCGGCTCGAGCCGATGCGAGTATTCTCATGTATCCAGGTTGATTTGTTCAAAATCGATATACACCACCAGAAGCTGTCTTTGTCGAGCGAACAGTGGCAATTCTCTAGAATTGATCATGAGCCTTGTTCACCGGATTATTCCTTCGACCGGTCACAGCTTGAGGGGATTATGGTTCGCCCAGGCTCATAGTACGCGGCGAACTTCGGGTCCCTGGGCGCTGACCACGGAGACCAAGCCTTGTGAAAGGGCCAGCTTTACATCGTCCCATGCCCCTGGATCAACACATTTCTGTCCCTCTTCAATGACATACGTTTTGAAACCTGCCTTTGCCGCGCCTAGTGCTGTATCTTTGACGCAATAATCCCCAGCTAAACCCACGACATAGACGTCAGTAATATTGTGCGAATGCAGCAAGGAAGCGAGATCCAGGCTGACTCCTCCTGCGCCCGAGGTCAAATTGCCGAAAGAATCGGAGAAGGCAGAGTACATTTCAACTCGCGCGTCCATGCCTTTCTTCACATTGACGTTGACCTTTGACAGGTCGATTTCTTCGATAATATCAGCGCCTCTCGTATTCTGTACGCAGTGTATCGGCCAGAGTCTTTGCATCATCGTCTGCTCCGGCCTGTTTCCAACTATGTTGTTCACCTCGACAAAAGACTCAAAAGGCTTGTTGTGTGGTGGAGTGTGATTTGCGGCGAAGGATATATGGTCAGCGGGATGCCAATCTTGCGTTGCTATCTTTACAGCAAAGCTGGGAGAATCAAGGAGCTGGTTGATGAGGGGCACAATGTCTTTGCCTCCAGGGACAGCAAGGGAACCATCCTGTCAATGTTAATCCGGAACCAACCTGGAAGCTGTAGACGTTTTCATACAGGAGGACAGAAGTCATGTTGCATGTCAACCACAATGAGCGCCGGTTTGAAAGCCATCTTGAAGAAGAGAAGGATAGGCCTGGTTGAGAGTGATAAGTTGATCGTTGTTGTGTTATGGTACGCTCAGTGCATTGTTGCAAGGGTAGCCGTTGTATCAACTCTCAAGGATATTGTGGACGAGAGATATCGCCTCTTACTGGCAGCTCATAATAAAATCGGTCCCAAGATAGTTAGACATGCATATTAACATCATCCGTTAGATGATCACAATGGTTGACCTGCAGATGATATGCTTTCCTGAACACCCGATAGCAGGTGCACCAAGTATGGTACTGCTGTGACAGTGAATAACCTCAGCTCATCACCTGCAGACTTGAACTGCTTCACCTGTTTATTAGGGGCTGCTTGTCACTTAGAAAAGGTCTAGGGAGGTCTCCAGAGGTTATTGGCGGGCGGCGAGCCAAGCCTAGATTAGTGGCCTTCGGGGGCATCGTCTATCTCGCTCTTCTGAACTTGCCTTTCCACTATCTCCCAACCCAACCAGAACTCATCGCATAGCGGCGACAGGCACTACACAGCAGCCAAGTCTGATCATCCTGGCATCGTTGTATATCATGAGCAGTCTCTACTAGTACAACAAGCGAGCGCCGATGCGGCCTTGAACGAACGCCGCACTCACAACCACTGAACCAAGAAACCTGCCTCCTCTACCAAGCGTCCCGAATCAGCCCGCTCCACCACAATCCCCTCATCCCTTCCTCAAAGATCGGCAGCGAACTCGAATATCGGACGTTGGAAGTTTGCTAGTGGGAGAGAAGAATCCAAGTCGCCATACGGCAAACATCAGAAGCCATGTCAAAAGCACTGGTGGTGAGCAACATCACATCGGCCCAACCAACCTCAAATGAACCTCAGTCGACCGCGGCAGATTTACTAAGCAAAGTATCATACTAATGATGCTTTTGAAATAGGGCGAGGTGTATGCCAAAGTCATCAACGATGTCTGTGAGTGGTCTCGACAGGATTTCGAAGAGGGAGGCGTGGAACTGGCGACTCTAGATCTGCTGAAGTCGGTATGTCACCCTGCGCCATCAGACCCCCGAGCCTCCGTTTTGTCCACTGCACTGTTGCGATCATCCTCTTTGCCCTTTCAAAAGCCCTTCCCATCACTGTAATGTGAGGCCTGAGAATATGCGGCGTGGATGTGTTAGGATGGTGGTGGTGGTCGCAGCATAATTGCCTTGCCGCAGGAGCGCGAGCGAGCGATCGAGGGTCGGAGGCGAGACAAGGCGCGGGGATCCGAAGGTTCTTGAGTGCGGCCCCTTTGACTCATGCCTCTTTATACGCTAACAACGGCTGCCTGATCTCCCGCCTTCCTTGATCTAACCACTTTTGGAGTGGCTTGCCGCTGCCTCAAGACGATTATCTCGTTCAACGACAGTGGCTTGTTTCTCCTGTGTCGTCTGTTGCATTGGCTTACATATGTCGCGCTACACAGGAATGGCAGAAGAAGCTGTCTGGTCTTAAGGTGGCACAACTTCCATGGGACCCTCCTCCACCGCCCGTCGTGAAAGACCAACCGACTCTGCCCAGCAACGCCAAACCCATCCCTCCCACTCTTCCCAGCAATGGCAACAGTGTCAAGAACGCACCTCCACCTCAACAGTCTTCTCCCGCTGTGGCTCCCGTCAAGGCCGAAAGTAATAACGCTACCTCGCATCCTCCCCCTCATGCACCCGTTCCACAACAGTACCAAGCTCCTTCGTTCCAGCAAGGGGAGCCGATGACGGCACGTGATCGAGCCGCGATGAATCTACATCAGAGCTTTGGACAACGAGCTGGACCCCAGATCGCACAACTCCAGTCTAACCAGCAACCGAAGTTGCAGTCCCCTGGGGTACAGTCCTCACCATACATCAAGCAGGAAGACGGAGGACAACAGTCTTTCGCAGGAGTCCAAGACTACCCAGACGACGTTAAACCACAGATATCCGCCCCACTTAAGTCAAGCCAGACTGACGGAGCTGGAGAAGATCGCGACACATGGGATGCTGAGTACTCTCGCCGCAAAGCACTAGCTGCGGCACACGGCGTGGAAGCCGATAATTTGATGCGAGCACAGTTTCTGGCGAAACAACGAGAGCTGGAAGGTGGCGGTCTACTGCTGAATCTCGACGAACGCGCCCCAGCGCCTAGCAAGGCTGTGTCCCGGAAGCTCAGGGATCTCAACGGTGAAGGCACATCCGGTAGCAATATTCCCTCCATCACACGTGCTCAGGGCGACGCTGGAGGCGATGATGACGACGATGAAGAAGACGAAGATGCCATCAACTCAGACCTCGACGACCCAGATGAGCTGGCGGCGAATGCTGAAGACGGTGACAACACTGACCAAGTCATGCTGTGTACCTATGACAAGGTCCAGCGCGTCAAGAATAAGTGGAAGTGTACGCTAAAGGATGGCATCTTTCGCGTCGACGGCACCGAGTAAGTTTCTACACTTGATTTTGCCAACGTAACACACCTGAGAAATGATCGAACCTTTCGCTGACATTCCTGTCTAGGTACGTCTTCCACAAAGGTCAAGGCGAATTCGAGTGGTGAGCACAAATTTCCACCTTGGGAATAGCATTGTTTCCAGACCATCCATTACCATGGCGAGGCAAGAAATGTGCAGCAACTTGATCCTTCACTCGAGTTCCATCTGATGAACTGGATGCGCACAGTCTCTTTTCTCCTTAACGGCGACAGGCTTCTTGCTCGTTCTCTCCTGGCCTTTTTCTGGACAGGCATTGATGGGACTCCCGCAGGATGGAGTGACATTTCAGGCGCTATTGACGGATTGCAAGGCCTGGAATATTAATACCAATTGTGTTTCTTGGCTCATTCCCCTCAAATACATTCGGATAGGGGTCATGTACTCGTCACACCGAGCAAGAAGCCCAGACCTCAGCGGACTGGTGCTGTGGGACTTCTGAGGACGTGTTGCTGGACACTTTCCATCTGCTTTGCAGCCCTCATTACTCAGACTCCAGTTTTTGAGGAGGTGATCACGAATTGACAAATGTTCTGCTACGCCTTGCCCCGTATACCATTCTTGCGCTGTGCTTTCCTCGTGGTTTCTTCCGTGGCAAAGTGCCTCAGAATTGATTTGGCGGGGTACCCTCGAGCAGGCATTTACGCGAAGCGGCTCCAAGTCAGAAAGCAGTTCCTATATGGCGTTGCCCCGTGGTACCGTCCTGCGTGCACAGGTCGTTTAGAGTATCCTAGTCTCGGTCTATGTGGTTCGTAAGCTGTGGTCGAACTGGCATGAGCTGCAGACGTCAATTGCGGCTGTTGAATCTTCTCCCCAAAGTCAAAGTCATAGGATTTAAACGAATAACCATACCGCGAAAATCACTACCTGTGAAGTACTGCATGATGATGCCATCCTCGAAGGCTGGAAACTGCATTTTATATACGGTGAAACATCGAGGCAATGGGGGAACAGTAGGGGCAGAGACGATGAGACAGTGAGTTGGTGGGTGACGTAATACGCAGCCAGGCCACAATCATGGTTCCAGTTGTTGGTTCGACCTGCTTGCCGTCTAAAATGCCATCTTGGTCAATTCTTCCTTCACTTCACTCCCATTACATCCCGCCTACACCTCTGCCTGTCCTCCGTCTTCCTCACGGAAACTTTTCAACCTACCGTCAGACAGCTAAAGTCGTTTTGTGCAAGTCAACACCGCAATCATGACGCTCTACTACAGTCTGGTCAGTAGCTGCCCACCAGTCGAGATTGGCTTGAGAACAATTGATTTCGAGCCACGCGATCGATGCTAACACTGCGGTCCAGGTTTTCGTCCTTTTGGTGGTCGAGATGGCGCTGTTCATAGCACTGATCGTACCACTGCCTTTCACCGTCAAGCGCAAGATGTTCAATTTCATATCGGAAAGTCCACTCGTCGCCAAATTACAGTATGGGATGAAGGTAGGGGAGAATTCTATGAAGGTGCTGCAGAGGATTCTGACGTGGGACAGATCACCTTCATATTCATCCTCATTCTCTTCCTTGATAGCGTCAACCGCGTCTACCGAGTCCAGGTGGAGATGTCAGCTCTTCTGAAAGACAATACTGGAGCGGGGTGAGTTCTACAAGTCAATGCTCGACTTTTCACTCTTTCTAACCTTGTCGCAGACGAGCAGCAGCAATTGGCTCCGACCGCATGGAAGTCCAGGCACGCAAGTTCTACTCTCAACGCAACATGTACCTTACCGGCTTCACACTTTTCCTGTCTCTGATCCTCAACCGAACCTACGGAATGATCCTCGATGTTCTCCGTCTCGAAGAAAAGGTCAAGATGTACGAAGGAGACCCACAAGCCGGCGGCAAGGAAGGCGAAAAACTGGGCAAACACTACCGTGCCGACCAGATTGGAGAGCTCAAGAAGCAACTTGACAAGAAAGACAAGGAGTTGGCAGCGATGAAGAGCCAGGCTGAGGGGTTGCAGAGAGAGTATGACGAGTTGAGCGTCAAATACAACCAGCTGAACCCCAACACCGGCGATAAGAAGAGCAACTAGAGCATCGATATGCAGCTCATCGTGCTAGGGTCGACAAGCAGCATCTCGTCCTGACGGCCACCCTCAGCGAGCAGGGCAAGCTGGTAATGTTTGGAATAGAGGTGACTGCCTCTCACGGACGCATCGTTTGGGAAGGTGTGGCGGCACTAACGCTTTGTGGCGGCGTGACGGGAGAATTGAGTATGATATCTGCCACCTTCGTCCAGTGGTGGACATTGGTACGGCATGTATGCGTGGAAGGCTGCAATAGGGAATAGAAAGCGTTGTCTTGCAGCAATTGAACAGCGGCCATAGACCGCGTTTCCGCTACTTTAATACTGGTGTCGAGCTCTGCCCCGACCCTGAATAGGACACAGACCCTCTGATCTACGAAGACAGGCCTTGCAACCGAAAAGGCTGTTATTAACCACTTCGATAATGTCGTCGCTTTGTGGTACCAGGAGACCCTGGATACAGAGGAGTGTCAAAGTGTGGGGACATCATGACGTGCCTTTTCCGCACTCCTCATCCCCAGCTCCATTTCTTCCTTTCGTTACGAACATCTCCATCTGCCGCGGTGCATGTCTCCGCTCGTTTACGAGCTGTTCGACCCATAGGAACCGTCGCTGTCTGAGAAGGGCATCGTGAACGGTAGTTTCCTGCCGACGGTGCTCGCCGGTTGTCCGCTTGTTGCGGAGTTCACTCGCGCTCGGGAGCTGAGCGCAGCCATCCTGAACAGACTCATAAGTGTCTACAGGACAGTAATATGGCTTCCCTCTCCTTCGTCTACAAACCTAGGATTCTCCTGAAGAACGAAAATGCTTGCTCTCCTATTCACGGTGGCAATTCTGATTGAGAGCTGTTTCGCTCGCCATCCGTACAACCCACGCCCTTTTCTTGTCCCTTTACACGTACGTCAAGCTGCCGGCCCCAGCAACGGCTCTTCTTTACAGGTCGACCTTGGGTATGAGATCTATGATGGATATCAGAACACCACAACAGGCTTGAGAGTCTGGAGAGGGTATTGGATAACGCTGAAATCCCAGGAAAAAAGTCCAGTCTCCTGATATCGAATGTCTAGTGTTCGATTTGCCGCTCCGCCAACAGGTTCGAATAGGTGGCAGGCTCCTCAGCCTCCCGAGAGCAACCGTAGTTCAGTCATTCAGGCAAACCAATATGGACCTATTTGCCCACAAAACCAGGATACCACCAATACTTTTGTCCCGCTCAACAGTACCGGGTCAAGTGAGGACTGTCTCTTCTTGAATGTTTATGCTCCATCAAATGCTTCTGGATTGCTTCCTGTGCTCGTATGGATACATGGCGGCGGTTATGGAAGAGGGAACGGCCGACAGGACATGTCGGCCATCATCAACACTAACAACAATTCCTTTGTTGGGGTCAGTATTCAATACCGGCTAGGTGCATTTGGATTTCTTGCCGGCGACGAAGTCTTTCGGAACGGCGTCGTCAATGCAGGACTGCTGGATCAATATTTTGGGCTCCAATGGGTACAAAACTATATCCATTTATTTGGCGGCGATGCGGCTCGAGTGACAATTTCGGGCCAATCCGCTGGAGGGGGCTCAGTCATGCTTCAAGGTATGGCCTATGGTGGCTCCCTTGGCCAGTCAATGTTCAGAAACGTGAGTCTTTGTAGGAAGTTTCTTCTCCAGAACTGATTTCCGCAGACCATAGCATCATCCCCGTATTTGCCAATGCAATACAACTACAATGACTGGCAGCCATCACAAGCCTACTATGCTTTTGCAACCATGGTAGGCTGCGCGCCAACCCTGCCATATGGTGCTCACTCTGGTACTCTCTTCGATTGCCTTGTCAGCAAGGATTCATCGACTTTGCAGAATGCAAGCGCTACACTGTCAGAGTCTGGCAAATATGGCACTTGGTGCTTCCTACCAGTCACAGATGGCATTTTTGTGCAAGACTTACCAAGTCGCCAGCTTTTACGCAAAGAGTTGAACGGGATCAATCTCCTTGTGAGTAACAATGCACTGGAAGGTCCAGCATACACCCAGCCGAACATTACCACCGAGGATGACCTTGTGGCTTGGTTACGCCTAACATTTCCTCTCTTCACGAATGACGACATCGCCAAAGTGCTGCTTTATTACCCAAGCTCAAATGGTACGACGGATTCCAATGCCCCCCTGTATGCCTCGACCGGGACAAGCCAGCCCAGCTTCATTAACCAAAGCAGCGTTGCCACGGGACAGCAACAACGAGCTTTCGTAAGAGGTGTCCATCTCCACTCGGGTACACTTACTAAACTACTGTCAGGCAATTTATTCGGAAACGACATTTGTATGTCCAGCTTATTGGATGGCGGAGGCGTATAGTGACCACGGCCGCAACTCTTACAAGTATCAATACTCGGTGCCCATTGCACTGCATGGCTCTGATGCCACGGCGTTCTTCGGACCGCCATCACCGAATCAAAGCCCGGAGTTTGTGGACGCCGTAATGCAGATATGGGGGAACTTCATCACAGGAGATGATCCTTCGATTCCGAGCAGTGTTGCCAACGGTCCTTCGTCTAATAGTACTGTGACGAACCCGGCGTCCGACTGGCCTCCATATAGGATCTATTCGCCATATCAGATGGATCTTAACATCACGGGTGGAACGCCGTTTGCGTTCAATCTTTCGTATATCGCGGCCAACTTGACCGAATATGGAGAGCCTGGACTGGTGAACAACATTACGTTGGTCAACGCGTATACCTGGGAGGCTGGACGTGGATATCGTTGCGACCTGTGGAGGAGCTTGGGAGCCATTGTACCTGAGTAAAAGCTATCCCCGATTGGTTGCTGCTTCTTTGATATATACATGTCATTCAACAAGACCTTCTCAGTACCCTCAACAGCTTCGTGAACTCCAGCCGGTATGCACCACTACTTCATCTAACAAACTCCATCCTGCGTTAGCGGACGATACCCGGCATCGAGGAACATGTACCTGGTCAGGCATGACGTTCGTGTCCGCCTGGCGCTGACAAAATGGCGTGTTCCGATTCGGTAATCCAACAAGACTTCAACCCACGTGCCTCGAGGCTCTGGCTGTCCGCTGCCGACTGCAACAACAAACATTCTACAGGTTCTCATTCTGTATCCCACTCGGAAGAAACGATAGCCAGCCCCGGCAGGAACTACGATGGAAAAGGCAGCTCGAAATCGCATCATGCAGTGGACAAAGGTACCGCATGCCAATGAGCTTCTCAGCAATTGGCTGACCGACCGGATCTTGTGTGTCTTTGAGCTTGACCATAAGCTTGTACAACTTGTTTACCCCACCGCGGTCCGTTGCAAGGATGAGCTTGCCGAAGGTCGTCCGCCGATGGTGACTTCAAGTGTACAGGGCCGCAAGTATAAGTTCCATGGAGAGCTCTCATGATCACTTCAGGTGAGTCGTAGTGAGAAAGGACGAAAAAAGGACCCAGCGGGATCTCCCTCAGGCTTGAAGACCGGTCCTGTCACGTCAAGATGTTGCAATTGCTTGTTTTCTCGTCCTTGATCGCTGTCACACTTGCCTCTTATGGTGCAAACTTGAACTACCGCTCTCCATCTTTGCACCACCCAGGCCTGGGAATATCCGTCCGCAAGGTTGTCAAACGCCATGACCCGAGTGCGGCCTATGAGCCGTCCCAGCTCAACTTCACTCATGGCGTGGCCTCGGGTGACCCATACCCCAACAGCGTGATCCTATGGACAAGATGCTCTCCTACCTTTGACGATGTCAAGGACAACAGCACCACCTCTGGCACTGTGCCGCTTTACAACCCAGTGCCCATTTACAATGACACCGACGAAGGCAAGCCGCCATCTACCGCCCCGGTCTGCCTGAACTGGAAGATTGCCTCGGACAGCAAACTGTCGAATGTGGTCGACTCGGGAACAGTCTACACCAGCTCTGATGTCGACTACACCGTCAAGGTGGAAGCGACCAAACTCAAGCCTTACACCCAATATTGGTATCAATTCAACGTGTGCAACTCGAACGTGTCCAGCTTGGTCGGCAGAACCAAGACCACCCCTTCGCCCGATGACCACGTCAATGGCGTCAACCTTGCCGTTTACTCGTGCAGCAATTTCCCCTTCGGCTACTTCAACGCCTACGGGAATCCAGTCCGAAAAGACTCGGTCGACTATGTTCTGCATCTTGGAGACTATATCTACGAGTATGCCAATGGCGAGTACGGATGGGGCCAGACCATCGGCCGTATCCCTCTGCCGGACAGACAAATCTACACGCTCTACGACTACCGCAAGAGACACGCCACATACCGGACTGACCAGGATTTGGTTCTCAGCCACCAAAACTACCCATGGATTCCTGTTTGGGATGATCACGGTAGGTTTTGAAACCCTTCACACTCCCACAAGTACCACTAACATATGTGGCCACCAGAGGTTGCAGACAACACTTACCGAGATGGCTCTTCCGAGCTCAACAACACGGAAGCCTCGTTTATCGAGGACGGAGGTGTGTCCGTTGACCAGAGGAAGATGAACGCCGTGCGGGCGTACTTCGAATGGCTCCCGATTCGCCAGGTCGAGATGGGTGACGATGTAAGTGATGAGCCTCAGAACTATCTTTCCGTCCAATTTCCCCTTTCTAACTTCCATACTAGCTCCGAATCTGGCGCTCATTCTCCTTCGGCAATCTATTGGACATCATCATGCTTGACACACGACAGTACGACCGGTCCATTACCGATCTATACTGGAACACGGACTACGTGCACGCCATCTCCAACGACGCAGGCCGGTCGATGATGGGATCCCGACAAGAGAACTGGTTCTATCAATCGCTGATCAACTCCAAGAACCGAGGAGCGACGTGGCGCCTGATCGGCTCGCAGACGGTGTTCAGCCGCATCAACGAGTCCTTGGCTTATGGCAACGTCAACCCACTCGACTACGATGCCTGGGACGGGTACCAAGCCAACCGCAACCGAACCTTCCAGACGCTGTACAACAACAACATCACCAACAACATCCTGATCTCCGGCGACAGTCACGCCAACTGGGTCTCGGATCTGGTGTGGCTGGATGAGCATCCCTATGACCCTGCCACGGGCAACGGCTCCATCGGCGTCGAGTTTGGCGGCACCGCCGTCTCGTCCCCTTCGCCTGGTGGTCAGAACATTTCCATCGCCGCCAGCGTCGACGCCAGCCAGTGGCTCGTCGGCGCCAACCGCGAGCTGCAGTGGAGCGAACTCTATTACCGTGGTTACTTCGAGCTGCATATCACCCAGCAGCAAGTTCAGGCCTTTTACTTCGGCATGCCAACTGTCATCAACCGCAACCCAGGGGAGATCTCGCTGGCCAACTTTACTGTTATTAATGGCGAGAACCATCTGCATCGCTTCAATGGCACTGTTGTCCCTGGCCCTGTTGAGAACGGATACGTCAAGTTCGGCCAGGTTAAGCAGACCAACATTACAAACTCTACGGATACGGGTCGGTACTATATCAGTCATGAGGACGTTGAGGACTTGTAGACTGAAGTGGCTGAGGACGTGTCGGAGTGTCCTAATGCAGAAGACAACCACACTCGGATAATAATGGTAAATAAATAGGCAAGCAGGTAATAATAGCAGACGAGATTCGAAAGCGGCAATAATATCTACCCTCGCTGGACTTGAATAACGAGGCTGACCACCGACTCTTCGTCTCTGTCTTCTAAACGGTTGCATCTATCTGGGTCCCCACAGGGAACACTGCGTGTACTCTGGATATCCTATACCATGTCCTATACCACTGCATGTAGGCAAAGAACGAACCTCAAAACTCAAACTACACTTCTCATCTCATCTTGTATAAATCATATATCGTCTAATTAAAATCATAACAAGCATCATTTCACCCACTACAATGCATCCTCAACCCTTCTTTCCCTCCCTTCATAATCTCACCACGACCCCGAACCCAAGCCCATCATCAAATCGGCACAACAATCTTCGTCCCACTAACCCCATCTCTCAACTTGTCCAGCGCCAAATTTAACCCCTCCAACCCTCCCCGTTCGACTTGAATCCGTGGACTCGGAACGACAGTACCCTCTTTCAACCCACTATACAACCACCCATGAAAACACCGCTCCACATGCCTATCCCTGACCTCCTTATCCAACGACGGGAAATTGAACACAATCTCCGTATCTTCCAACGTCGGATGATCTTCCGGCAAAGGAGGCGAATGAGCCACTTTTGCAACCACTCCCTTTCCATTCCCTTTTCCCTTTCCCTTGGTTTCTTTCAACACATCCAACGTCGGCTGCAACCCTCCAACCACAACACAATGCGCCGTATACAACTTCACACCATCCCACTCCACCGCATCAACAATCTTCTTCACGACATCACTGTCATGATAATCGACCACAACATCCGCACCCAGCTCTTTCAGGTATTCATGATGCTTCGAGCTAGCAGTCGCATAAATCCTGCTGAACCCGAGTAATTTCGCAGATTGAACCGCAAATGTACCCACGCTACTTGCCGCGCCCCAGATTAGCACGGCCTGCTTATCCTCCGGGGTGAATTTCGTATCGAGAGAAATTCCAATGCAAGTCCAGGCCGTTAGAGCTGTCATGACGGCCAAGGGAAACACGGCACCTTGTTCAAATGAGAGCGTGTCGGGAAGTGGGATGACCGCTTCGGATTGGACGAGGGCGTAGTGTTGGAAGGCGCCGTAGTTTGGATCGCCATTTTTGAAGAAAGACGAGGCGAGGGCGATGACTCGACTGCCTGGAACAACAGAACTGCTGGTGGAAGTAGAATCATTGGCAGTGGCAACATTAGAGCCAACCTTGGCCACGATGCCAGATGCGTCGTGCCCAAGGACGGCAGGATAGACGGGGACCGGCGGGATCCCAAAGTCGCGCTGGTAGTAGTCGACTGGATTCAAGGCTAGCGCTTTGATTTCGATGAGAATTTCATTGGGACCGGGGTCGGGTGTGGTGCGTTCGACGATGGATAAGGGACCGCCTTTTTGGGGGAGGATCGCGGCGAGGTGATGGTGCGGTACTGGTTTAGTCATGGTTGCCAAAGGCTTTCTTTGGAGACGGACTTCTGAATTGCCGTATGTATTATATTATTTGTTTTCTGGGTGAAGGAGTTTGGCTCAGTTAGTATAGATTAATGTTGCGTGTCTATGGAGTGTGGTGCCTATGGTGGAAGTTGACCGGTACTAATATGTAGTATATAAGATGGCAATCCTGGGACAATGGAATATGCAGTGTAGGTCGGATATAGACCTATCGCCGACGCCATTGAGTCTTTAATTCCGGGGGTATTTGTCGATAAATCTTGTAACAAGGGAGATAGATTGATATTCGCCGTAGTCGTATTGGAGTAGGAGCCTGGAGATACAACTCTGACGGGATCCCGGGGTAGATATTATGAGCTAGTTTGTGAGTACGAGACGTGGTTAGACTGAGAAGTAGAGAGTCAGTTGCAACCGCGATGATTGGACGCATCGGCCGAGAGTGGACACTACCTGGTGGTGATTGGGCTTCCGTTGAAATCAGAGAGAGCGCCTACGAGTCCAGAGACTTGATGCTCACTCAGTCAGACAGTTTCAAGGTGGCATGGTAAGGAAGTCGCTGCCACCTCCAGATCGTCCTTCAGTCGCAATCCTGGTTCTGTAGATACAACCTTGAGAAGCGAAATACGACCCTAGGCACAGTCTCCACAATAATTGATTCTGCGAGCTTCCCAGGCCTCCTTCCATGGAGCTGTTTGACCATGTTGACTGGTCATGATTGACCTTGGAACACATAGCATCACAAAAGCTTCAGGCTGACATGTTCGACGTTTGTTGTCAATATAGATTCCTCAGCTGCCCTTCCCTCAACTTCTTCCAATGACCGGCTTGTCACGGGGTCTCATCACATTGTTGTCATCATCAATCAAGCCAGCGTGGTTAATGGGCGTGGGCATTTGTCGCTGAGGCGGATCTCACCTAACCCTGTCACCAAATTTTGATGGTCACAAGGAAAGTTGGATATCCAAGAGGAGTCTCTTGCGCCTGTACTGAGTAGACCTTCCAGAAGACCTCTTGGAACAAGTCAGCCAAAGCCATTTCCGTTCAAGAGATGGAGCATCCCATCAAAATTTTGCAATGGTCACTTTCTTCACCCGGCCCTTCGAGATATATACCATGAGTCGTTTCCGAGGTTAAGGCGGGAATCAATGTATTGGGCCAAAGTGATTTGAATCTTCCCTGTAGCCCGCTGAAGACACTGGAAGCCAAGTTCATCTTCTCGTCCCCCACTGTGCTGCCGGTGGAATAGCATATTCCGCCCGGTTAGATATACGTGAACTCAGCAAAGATATCCTCCCCAGCAAAGATGTCCTCTGTCTCCTCACCAGCAAGGATGTTCTCCCCAGCAGGGACGTTCCCTATAGCGATAACATCCTCCATAGCGGTGACCTCCTTTATAGTGGCGACATCCTCCATACCAGAGACGTCCTCCATAGCGGAAACACCTCCCATGGCCGAGATACTTCCCCCCATAAAGACGTCCCCTCCAGCGAAGACATCCCCCTCCGGCGGCCGAGAAGGCGGCGGAGAATTTCGACGATAATTCTCAAGAAAATCAGCGACGACCCATTGACACAGGTCCCTAGCTATGGCAGCTGCTTCAGCACAGATCTCGACGAGTGATTCGCCCTCCTTGAGTTGGTAGTTGTCGAGTAGCAGTTGTACCATGTCCAAATGCCCCTCTCCCGCCGCAAGGTCTACAGCGGACATGCTGTTGCTTTCTCTAGGTCCTACCGCTCTCACATCCGCCCCAGCACCAAGCAATAATTGGGCAATTCGCACGTAGCCACCGTATGCGGCGGATTGTAGCGGCGACGAATCAGTGTGGATCAGGTGTGGATTCACATCTGCTCCATGCTCTAAGAGGTATTGCACCACGTCAAGATGTCCGCAGCAGGATGCTGCTGCAAGAGGTGTTAGGTCGTCCTCGGCTCCATTTCCATTAACGTTTGCTCCATTTCCATTAACGTTTGCTCCATTTCCATTAACGTTTGCTCCATTTCCATTAACGTTTGCTCCATTTCCATTAACGTTTGCTCCAT